ATTCGTGGCAGCTGGTGGGAAAAGACATTCTGCAGCCCCACAAGCCAGAGCAGCACCCTCCGGTTGGCCTTGGGTGTCAGAGAGTTGCCAATGACGTGGAATTCGATAATGCCTCGCCGTTCTTCCAGGCGAGCTGTTTCATCTCGAGCTGCATTGGCTGAGAGTAGGCTCGTCTAGGCAGAAGACGGCTGGTAAGCGAGGGCCTTAGGTGAGTGAAGGTTCCCTCTCTGATAGGCCAGCAGGTCAAGCTGCCTACCTCAGGCCCTAGCATGGCAGCGGGGTCAGTGATGGTCAGCATGACCTCATTGACCAGCTCCATGGGGATGTCACCCATCACACGGAGCCGCTTAGCATCCTCCAGCGTGAGGTTCTCAGGAAGCTTCCTCTTCTCTCCTACTGGGGAGGATGACAAGGTCACCCAGGGACCGTAGGAAATGTGGAGGGAAGGGTGAATGGGGGTGAGAGGTCAGGGGTCAAGTACCCACCTGGCATGGGCTCAGCCCCTGTAGAATCCAGGCTCAGGGAGCTGTTGCTGCCTCCACCCATGGAGGGACTAAAGATGGGGGTGCTGGGAACAACAGCTGCACTGACTGTTGCTACAAGGGAAAAGGAATCAAGGGCAGAGAGTGGAGGGTGTGGCAGGGTCTTCAGAAGAATCAGGCCCTATCTGAGCCCCAAGGTATTTTCCCTCCATCACTCTATTATCCCAGAGGCAGTAGGCCAGCCAGGGTGACCAAGCAGCCCCTGCAGAGCTACTGTGTAACATACCTGGCCGGGGCACCAGTTGGGTCCCCTCTGAGGGTGGCATGGTGAAGCCAGACTCCCAGATAGGAGAATTTGCCCCGTAGATCTCCTCTTCAAGCATGGACAGGAACCTGTGGGGGAGGGAAGAACCTGTCCCACGACTCCAGCCTTCAATCCCAGAGGGATGAGAGGCCAGTCAGCCAGACCCTGTTGCTGGTGGGTGGGAGTCTGTGAGAGGAGACAGCTTCTGCTATCTGGGAAGGCCTAGTATGTAAAGGGAGGTTCAGTTCCCTGCCTGCTGAGGCCCTCAGAGAAAAACAAAAGGACAGGACACAACCAGGATAGAGATTAGAGACCCAATTTTGTCATGATGTATGGCATAGGAGAAGGGGTTGGAGCTGATACCACCCTGTGCGTGTGGCCAGGCAGGGAACCCAGTCATCTGAATTCCCTTACTCCACATCTTTATCAAAATGGTTTGGGAAATCACCCAGTCTTGCCACCTCTCACTCTCAACATGCTTATTCCCGGCAAAGGTTTTTGATTAGGGTGCTATGACCCACATTCATATGGGAGGAAATGGAGGTACAATAGAGGTCAATGTATATAGAAAGGACCAGAACAGAGATGGGAGACAATTTCACTGCAAACGTAAACTCTGACTTCTTAGAGCTCTGTGGAGGGAGGGGTTCTGAGGCTATTATATCCGGGTGCCCATAGGAAACTATTAGTAGCAATCTACCAGGAGGTTGGGAGGGGGTAACGTTAGCTTGGGCCATGTACCTGCCATCCCCAGACTAGCACATACTAGCAAGTAGCTTCTGGGCCATGGGCAAATCTGCCAGGTAGACACCCAGATCCCAGAAGGCCCATGGAGGGAGAGGAGGGACCAATCCAGGAAGTCTTCCTGGAAAAAAGGGGACATCAGCGAGGACATGAATTTGGGGCAAAATCCCAACGGGCCAGACCGAGCCTTACTTGGGGAAGTGAGTGAGAATAAGGGTCCTCTTCTCAGGCACCAGCTTGTCCTTCTCCACTCGGAATTTTTCCAGTAGCTGCCGGCGGGTGACAGTGAAGATAGATCGCAGAAGGCTTCGGCCAAAGACATGAGTGGTCTCGTATCGGGGGAGGCTATCGCAGCTCTGGGGCACATGGCAGTAACAGAGCCATCTGGGGGAGGTGGAGTGACAGGTGAGGGTGGAGACCCCCTCGGACCACAAAAGCCTCCCCTGTGAGGCCCCGCCTAGGCTCACCTGGTATAATTGACCTTGTAGGTGGCCACATCCTCAGACTGGGACCGCTGCCGGAACTGAGCAGGTGTCTCCAGTTTCCAGTAGTTAAGGCAGAGCAGGAACATCTTGGAGAGCTCAAACATTGTCTGCCGCTCTCGGGGGGCAAGGTGGCTAAATTTGTACTGCACAAAGTTCAGTACACCCTGAGGAGGAGAGAGGGGGACAAAATCAGAAGGCCATAAGAACAGCCAGCAGAGGTATCTCAAATACAAGCTCAGGCTTTCCCCTCACTCTGGGAAATCCTGACCCTTCCAACTTCTACACCCACCCTGAGGTCAGCACGCACCGTCCCTTTTTTGAACTTCTCAACTTAAGAACACTCCACCCCTTACGCTGCCCCTCAGCTCTGCTCTTACAAAATGTCCTACCTGCTCAATGTTGGGCTTCTCAAATGGGGGGCTGCCTAGGGATCCCTCTACCACTGGTCGAGTCATCTGCAGGATGCATTTCCGCAAGAGCTGTAAGGAAGATGAATGGGAAAAAATAGGGGTAGCAGAGCTCAGAGAACCAGATCCCAAACACACACAAAAGCGCATCACCTTCACTCTTCCATACAATGAAAACTCACCTTGAAAAGGTAGAAATAGACCTGTTTGGTGTCTGTGTCCTCTTCCTTGTGAACAGACATGAACAGATTTTCTACATCTACTACCATTCCCAAGAGCCGGTTAATCTCATCCTCTGACACATTCTCCAGGTGGGACACATGGTCAGCTGCAAGATGGTTACATTAAGGTTGAGAGGAATGGATAGAAGAGATCAACAGGGCTCGATTCCTACACCTCATGAGTCACACCTTTGGTCCTCCAATCCTTAAAGGCCAGGGAGACCCAACGTTCTCAGTTCCCACAGCAGCCCTTGGTAGCTCCCTGCTTTTTTCTGGGAGGCAGACTTCCTTTTTCCTTCCTTGGGACAGACACATGCATTCCCAACCCAATCTTTCCTTAGGAAGACACTCTGATTTCCCTAAGAGTCTTTAATAATACTTTTGTCAATCCTATCCAAACAGGACCTAGTACCTGCCCTCCGCCCCTGTTCCAAAGACGCCACCTGCCTTACCCAAGGGGTGCTCACAGCTACGGCACAGCTCGCTCAGGTTGGCAGCTGGTTGCTGAAGGTCCATGCGAGGTGCAGTAGGGGGTTTGGGGTTTTTCCAGCCATTGCACTTGCAGGTTTCATTAGCCTGGAGGCGGAAGGGATCAGTCAGCTGATGTTGTGCCCCAAGCGCCGGAGCGTCTCCTCCGTAGCTAGAGCTTCGCCCCGAATTCCCACCGGAGCCCTAGGATGCCCCCAAGCCCCGCCCCTTTCACCTAGGCCCCGCCCCCACCTTGCAAGCTGAGAAGACCCCTAGTTTCTCAAGCTTCTTGGCACGCGGCAGCCCCCGGACTTGCGCCTTCCTCTGGCTAGCGCGCTGCTGCTGGCTCAGGCCAGGTCGAGCCGGATCCCCCCCAGTCCCCGGCCCCCCACTTCCTACCCCGGCCCCCCCAGTCCCCGTGCTCCCGGCTGGAGCTGCAGCTGGGGCAGGGGCTGGTGCCGAAGTAGGAGCCGGAGTGGGGGCTGAAGCCGGGCTGGGCGCAGGAGTCGGAGTTGGGGCAGGGGCCGGGGACTGAAGGGGTCGGGGTTGCGCGGCTGGGGCCGGGTTTGGGGCCTGGGAAGGTTCCGCCATGGCCTCCCCCGCAGCGGAGCGGCGCCGCGCTCCCAGCCCTAGGGCCGCATGGGCAACCGGTGCAAAGTGCGCAGGCGTAGCTGCCCCAGCGCACTATGGGAATCGTAGTCTTCCCTTGCCGCTCCTTATGCCTTGGCCTTCCAGACTTTAATGTCCTGTTTCTTGGTTACAGACAGCTAAATGTCGCTTGGTTGAGCACCTTGGGTTGACTGCTACTTTATCCTAACATTTCTTAAGCCATCCGGGATAGTGACAATTGCTGTCCTCTTGGGGATAAGAGAAACCCCGGAACCCTGGCAGTCTAGAGGATTTCTGGGTTCCACCCGTAGGTGGAAGAACAAGCCTGGACCTGGGGTTGGCTCCCACACTACCAAGCCTACCCCATGTGGCTGCCAACTCAGAATTGCAGCTACAATAGAAATGAAATGTAGCAAAATTCTACATTGTGTGCTATGTGATCTTGACACATAAATTAAGTGATTCGGCATTTCCTGTACTTCGGGTTGTGCTAAACAGAAAGTTTATTTTCAAAAGAACAGAGAGGCATAGTTGTGGGCCATGCTGCTGAGGTAGAGAATGGAAGCTCAACCCCAGCCTATGGCAAATTTTGTGTGTGTGTGTGTGTGTGTGTGTGTGTGTGTGTGTGTGTGTGTGTGTGAGAGAGAGAGAGAGAGAGAGAGAGAGAGAGAGAGAGGAGAGAGTGCAGATAGGGAGGGCAGGGTCTCCATTTTTGCTCTATGAATAGGCAAATATGGCTCTCCGAGCTTTAAAGCTTAAGATCCCTGACCATTCCCTTCCTCATCTTTTTTCTGCCTCCCCCATTGGGGGGGAGGGTAAAAAAAAAAAAGAGCCAGAAAAATATCCACTTTCTTCTCCCTGTGTTAGGACTGAAAGGTCATGGAGAGACCGTTCTTCCAAAAGACCTGGAAGGCCCCCTCTTATGGCTCAGTCCAAGAACAATCTTCCTTGCCCCAGGCCTAAGTCTTAAGCGGGAAGCGCAGGGCAAGGCAAGGCAGGGCAGACCTCTTCAACCTTGTTGCTCAATCGCATCTGGAGTGGAGGAGTTGAAATCACGTTTATTCAGGTGATCCAATTCCCTCACAGCCACCTGCCCCTCTGATGTAGTTCGAGAAGGGCCCACCGAGGAGCATGGTCCCAGACAAAACAGCATGGTCACTGACGACCTGCTGTTTGCAAGGAAGACGGAGAAAGCTGACATGATCTCTGCCGGCATTTGCCCCCAAAGCGAAGAGGGGGCGGGCTCTTCCTCTATGCATCCGCCCAGAGGATTGGGGGGGCGGGCGCTCGTGCACCTCAGATCAGTTGCTCTCTCGGATGCGGCGGGTAGAAAGCAGTTTCTCCACCAGGCAGCAAGAGCCGGGGGAGAAACGGGTGGTGTCTCGATGTCCCAGTGTGGCCTTGGGTGAACAAAATCAAGTGGCCACACTACCCGTGCAGCTGCTCAGGAATGATCTGGCTGTGGTGCCGGGCAATAGCCATGCGGATGCGGATGCAAATTTCCAGATGAAGATAGATGTCCATGGCTTCGCTCCGGAAGAGCTGATGGTGCAGGTGAACGGCCAGAACCTGACAGTGACAGGTCAGCAGCTACGGGAGTCGAATGACCGAGTCAGGGGCCGTTACCGCACAGAGCAGACAGTGCACCGGCAAATGCAGCTTCCACCGAACTTAGATCCTGCAGCCATGACCTGCAGCCTGACACCCTCTGGCCATCTGTGGGTCCTGGGACAAAACAGGTCACTACCTCCCTCTGAAGCCCAAACAGGCCACGCCCCGAGCCTCGGGAGCCAAGGATCTAAGGGCTCCAACTGATCCTGATCCATTAAACAACTGAGTTGTGCAGCAGCCTTAGGAGTCCCTTAGCGTTTTTTTTTTTAGGGATGGAGGGTTGGAGCTGCAGGGAAGAGGTGGCTAGGATAGGCATCCCAGAGGGTAGTAAGTACACTGATTAACCAGGCTTCTGGCCCTGAGATAAACTTGGGGGGGGGGTGCACTTAGCTAATAGCAACAGCTCCAGCAGGGAGCAGCAGAGGGCTGGAATGGACAGTGTTGAACCTGGCATGGAGTGCTGGCTTTATGATCAGTGGCCCTCGTCAGGGAGAGGACAAAAAGATGGGTGTCAGAATCCTAATGCAGTCCTAACAAAAAAAATAAACAAAACCCTTGGAGGTCATTACAGACACCAACAATGTTGAAATACAGGTTGCATATCCTTTAATGTAAGCTGCGGGGAGCCAGGGGTCAGCCCCAGGCCAGTCCTATCCTCCTATACCACCAGAGCTGCCAACAGCAGGGCCTCTTTCTTTTGGTTACCATGACCACCAGTATCCTCTCACAGGTAGGGGGCGGAGCCATTTAATCAGACTGGATGATTCACTTATATTAACTTCAGGAAAAATAGAAAGTGTATGTATGGCCTGACAAACTCGGCCAGAGAAAGACGAGGAAGACAAGTGTGAGGTCGATCGATCGGCTGACTATATTGACAAGATACTGATTGGTTACATGTTGAAGAAAACATACAATACAAAATACAGAAAAAGTTGGTTCCATCCCCTCCCACTCCCCCCTTACCCACCCATCCCCAAATACTCATCATCGTGATTTGGTCAGAACAGGGCTCAGAGCCAGAGGTCAGGGTGACCGAGGGTGGAGGGGTTCCGGGCCACGGGAGCTTGGCTGTCACAAATGACGCTTATGTAATGCTGCGATTTCTCTCCCAGCCGGGAGTCAGATGGGGAGGGTCTGCAGCCTGATGACAGCAGAGGGAAGAGCTGCCTGTCCCTTCCCCAGCCCAGAGCCTGCCCACCACCCCGGGACCAAGACCACTCCCAGCAAGGTAAGATGTGGGTGCTCTTGCCAAGTCTGCTCTCCAACGAGAAGGAAAGGAAGGGTAACTGCTCCGACCCCTGTCCCCACAGACCAGGGGCACAGGAGTGTGGCTACTACCAGCAAAGGGCAAGTGGGGAGCAGTCGAAAGGGGACTTGGAAGAGCAGAAGATCATATATATTAAAAAAGTGACTTAAGACTTAAAATTGAATTAGTATTTGTACAGAAAGGTGCAGGTGGAGTAACTCCCTCCGGCCTAGGATCAAAGTTATGTGGAGAATTCATGATGGACCCCTCCCCTGCCCCCAGTGGTGGCCCGAGTCGTTAAGTGCGATTGGTTAGAGTGGATTCCAGTCGGGTCATTCTGCTGGAGGAGTGGGGGGCAGAGGCAGGCAAGGGGGGTTCAGTTGCTGCAGCACTGGCTCCGGCTGGCTGGGTTGCTCTCCTGCAGATCCACACCTCTGTTCCGGCCTGGAGCACCAGTTACATTCTGGGGCTCGTTCTTGGGAAGCTTCTTAGCTGTTTGGGAGAGAAGGGAAATGCACCTGTGGATACACCCCAATATTCTCCCCTAATAGTGACAACTGGAATACTGGAGGGCTTTGTATGCCAGGTGCACTGGAAACTGGAGCACAGAGGCTAAGAACGTGTCTAAAACTAGAATGACACTCCACGCTGCTAGGATTTGAACCCAGGCAGAATGACTCCTGAGGCAAATGAGCTGAAGTCCTATGGGGGAAGGGATGACAATGGACGGCTCTGACATGGACAGGGAGTATAACATTGAGACTTTGGCCCAGGCTTTAGAAAGTTCTGCATCTGGGAGTCAGACAGACAACAGCATTACTATACAGTTTAAAATGGTGAAAATTCTGTTAGTGCATATACCCCACAGACCCACTAGACACCAACCAGCACACAGGGTTCTACTCTGCTTGGGAGAAGGTCAGGGAGAGGCACTTTACCTATTGCCATGAAAATTTCATTCACATTCATTGCAGTCTTCGCTGATGTCTCCATGAACAGCAAACTGTTGTCATCTGCATAGGCTTGTGCTTCCTGATTCAGGAAAGTGAGGAAGAGGGTGGGAGGTGAATGTTGGCAGACGGTAGGGGCTAGGGCCCAGGAGAAAAATCTTCCCTGGTCTCGGTCCTTATAAAACAGATTGACTGGGCAAATGCAGGGGTTTCAGGCTTAGGGCTCCTCTGTTCTGGGTTTCCCCAAATACCAGCATCACCTACCACCATGCACACTACACCTCCCAGGTCACAAATATGGGCAGATTCTTATTCAACTTCCCTAGATCCACTCAGCTTACTCTTCAGAATCACTAGGCAAGACATTCTTCTAGAAAGAGACCTTGCAAATATACTTACACTTCTGGACAAAAGCATGAGAGTATATGGATGCTGCCTACAGCACTGTTTCTAGCCCTCAACTGTTACAAACAACCTAGGTGGCCATCGGTTAGGTAAATGATGTGGTGTGTGGCGGCTCACAATAGTAATCCAGCACTTGGGAAGTGGAAGAATGCGGTACAGGAAGGAGTTCAAGGCCTGTAGCTGAGGCTATATGCTTCATGAGATACTTCCTTCCGTACCCCGCCCCCCAAACATATGACACTGTAACATACAGTGCATGTAATACACAGCATACTCCTATCCATCTGTGTAAAGGAAAGGATTCATATATGTATACATTTGCCGGGCAATGGTGGCACACACCTTTAGTCCTAGCACTCAGGAGGTGGAGGCAGGAGGATCTCTGTGAGTCTGAGGCCAGCCTGGTCTACAGAGTGAGCTCAGGACAGCCAGGAATGTTATACAGAGAAACCCTGTCTTGAAAAACCAAATAGATAAATAAATAGTGTATATTTTTGGTAAAACAAACAAACAAACTGGGAATTCTGGGTAAAAGATGCTGAGTTTCTAGGATTAAAGAGACTAAACTCATTCTCTATACCTTCTTAAACTATTTAAATTTTACTAAATGCATGCATTGCCTAAAGAGTATTTCTGGGGCTGGAGAGATGGTTCAGCACTGGCTGCTCTTCCAGAGGACCCAGGTTCAATTCCCATGGCAGCTCACAATTGTCTATAACTCAAGTTTAGCGAATTTTACACCCTCACACAATGCACATAAGTTTAAACCGAAAAAAGACTTCTGCTTCAGTCCATTTGGTCTATAAGGCAAAATGTGCCGAAGCGTCACCTACTCACTCCACCCACAGGAGAGCACAAAAAGACAGTTTCTTTGTGGCCCATGCTTGAGTCACCAGAGGGCAACAGAAGAAAAGTTGCTGTCATCTGCCACCTTACAGGACCTAAGTGGTCTGGGGAAGCCTCCCTTTATAGAGCCGGCTCACCCTTCCCCAAGCTGTCATCTCCTCACCTGAAACTCCACGGCTCTCTTGCTGGCCAGGTCTGCCTTATTGCCCGCGAGTGCAATGACGATGTTGGGGCTGGCCTGCCTCTGTAACTCTTTCACCCAATTCTTAGCCCGTGCAAATGTATCCTGAGGAGACAGGGTCGGAGTGCCAAAGGGACAGAAGAGACATTTTACTCTGGGCCACTCTGAGCAATCAAAAACTGGCACAGCCAAAGGCATCTGATACGTCATCCCTACGGATTCTGGTGAGAGCACCCCAATGAACAGGAAATCTGCCCACATCTCACTCAGGAATAGAAGGCCGAGAGGGAGGCCTGAAATGAGGCTTTTATAACCCAATTCTTGGGGCTTTACAGAAATGAATGGCAAAGAGTAAAGGAAAGAAAATCTTTACTGTGTTGGTGATGTCATAGACCACGATGGCTGCTTGGGCCCCCCGGTAGTACATGGGGGCCAGGCTGTGATATCGCTCCTGTCCGGCTGTGTCCCAGATCTCAAACTTGACCGTTGTATCGTCTAAGCAGACAGTCTGCGTGAGGAAAGCCGCTGGAAGAAAAAGGTGGTGTCATTAGGCAAGGAGGGACTAGAAATCACCTGGCTTCTTTCCTGCTGCTGGTTCTGGCATGTAGAAGCCTGTCCACACAGGGCTAGGTGAGGCCTGGGCTCCTGTGTTGTCTGGGAAGTGCTTCTTGCACTTTTAGAGCAATCTGAGAGCCACCCTGATAAGGGAGGCCCGGGGGAACCCTGAGGCCAAGCCCCAAAGGATAGGACCCCTATCCCCAACAGCCTTCCTCCCATTGCCCTTCACAGACCCACTTCAGCTCAACGGTGACTGTAACCTTCAGTTTTGGGAAGGCATTCTCACTGGGAAATATACACTGTCACACTGCCAGGCTGTGACTGGGTGACTGGCTTTCCAACCGCTCCTGCCACCTGCTGGCACTCCAGCTAGCCACCATCCCTACTGTGACCAGAATCACTCCTGTATGGGAGTGCTGGGAACACAGGGCACTCAAGTGAGCATGCTCGGAAGGAGAAACCTGGAGCTGAGACAGACAGGGAGCATCCCCATACACCAGACCCAGCAGTCATGACAGCTCTGTGAGGAGCCTGGGGCGCCACCTCACTTCCCCTCTACAGCTCCTGACCATGCTGAGCAGGCAGAGAGAGACTGCTGACGCGGCCCATTCTGTTTCCAGCTGCCTGGAACCCTCCTACCAACCAAGAGAACAGAGAAGGATGACTCAAGTCCGGGGTGGCCCTGGCCTCTCGAGGTTCGAGGTTCACACTGACTACGGATGTGAGAGGCTGAACCCAGACCCTTATTTACATCCTAAATGCTGACCAATGGGGAATCACTGACACATTCTGAGCTCCAGCAAGGGTAAGGGTCAGCAGGAGAGGACAGCATACTCACACTACCCTGCAGAACAAACGGGACCCTCTGAGGGGACCTCATGATGCCAGGTCAGTGGAAGAAGTAGTCTTATCCACACAATGTAACAAAGAGGCTGGACCAGAACTGGAAGCCAGTTTTCAATCCCTAGCTAATTCTTAGCAGTCATGCGTTTTGGAATGAGGACTGACTGCTGGG